AAAAATTAATCGCTAGATTCATCGATTAGGAAAATAATCGTTTTGCCCAGCCCTAATGTGTGTATGATCAAATGTGTGTATGTTACATATATATAATACCTATTTGTAACATTATGATTATTATTACTGTTGTTGACATTATTGTTATAATTTTTAATTGTTGTCATCATCAGGCTGCTATTACTGTTTTGTTGTTTGACGTCCTTTTAATGAGTGTTATGTGTGTTATGGTGGTTTGTTCTCTGCATTCCCCTACACTTTGTTGTCTGCATCCCACCTTCATTATTATTATTATTTTTTCTCTCTCCCCATGGTGATTAATGTCTGTTATTGTTATGATTGTCGTTTCTGTGTCCTCCATCCCCACCCCCCCTTTTTTTTGTATAATCGCGGTACTAGGGCGGGTGAGTTCGGAGTGGCCACACTGGAATATCTTTACACTGTAACTTTAATTTAAAATAAAGTTGTCCTCCAAAGAGGGGGGGGGGTTAGTTTTAAAAAAACTAGGCCATTGGAGAAATCACTCTGCCAACCAGAAAAATTTGAAGTAATGACCTACATGAGCAACCTTGTGGGGACCGCACACCACACTCTTCATGAAATGCTCCCTTAGTGACCCTGACTGGGTATCATACTCTTCATGAAATGCTCCCTTAGTGACCNTGACTGGGTATCATACTCTTCATGAAATGCTCCCTTAGTGACCTTGACTGGGTATCATACTCTTCATGAAATGCTCCCTTACTGACTCTGGCCCAGAACTCAGTCTATCCATCTGACTAGCTAGTTTTAACCGGTGCATCTTCAATTTCCGCCCGGCTGCTGCAAACGGAAGTAATGATTCATAGGTGCATGCCATTGTGGACAGAACCGGAAGTGCTAAGCCTGCAGCAGTCCTCCGCAGAGAAGGTGAGGGACGGCATGTTTCAGAGCATGACAGCACTCTGCTCCCTCATCCCAGTTATAATGCTGCTCGTACCCGCGACCGCGGCCTGCCGCTCGCTGAGTTTGCCGTGCACGCCCCTGTCGCCTCCACCCGCCCCCTGCTTCCTGACCATGCCGAGGCTCCACTCTGCCAGCTGCCAGCGTACGCCAGCCGGGTGTGCCCTTCGCCCCCGGAGACCATGGGTCTCGCACGCGGCGCCTGGGAGGAAGCAGATACCGGCAGCCTGGTACAGAAAACCACACGGTCTACAGTAGCTGCGGCGTTCCTTTCAGCTCGGGGCTTGTGGTTACAACGGCAATTAGAGCAAGGAGATGAGATGGATGGTTGGAGGGGCTCCATCGTTTAAAGCCTTTCGACATCTCTATCAGCCTCATCTGCCACCTTTTCCGTTAGTTTTCAAACTGAACCTGAGAGACCAAGTTGAAGTGAATAGGTGTTTTCGCATCTACCTATGTTTTTGGCAGCTGGATGGTAGGATATCAGGCTAGAGTCCAACTCCGCAATCTTCCATCCGATCACTTCAGGCTGGTGTCGCTTCCACACTTACTGGATCACAGTCAGGACAAAGTCACCACTGATTTTCAGGACCGAACAGAGAGTGATGAGTCTCATCTGATCTTTATTGCCCCATGTTCACCTTCAGATGTCTGCAAAACAGACAAGCAAAGCGAAGACACTGCTGTGCTCAAGAGAGGTCTCAAACCTCCAGAGCAGAAGTGACAGCAGACTTTAAAGAGATTGCATAATTTTTACAGAAATTAATTTACAATTCACATCCTTCTATATTCAGCTTTTATGTCTTAAATATAGTTCATTATACACAGAAAAAATAGTTTGTTGCAACAAGTTTTGACTATAAATTGTCATTAGAATGAATTGCAGTCATTTGCACAGTTACATTTACTTCATTGAGAAAAAACATGGCATCGATCCTGTACAAATTTGTCTTCGTGTTTTTAGTGGTTTTCTCCTATCAGCTATTAGCAAAGTGTGCAGCATGTTCATGGAGATGAAACGGAGAGGAGCAGAGCAGAAGGTAGGAGAGCAGGCAGGAGGCCACGGTGCAGGAGGGTCTCGTCAGTTTGGACTGAAATGTGGAGCCAAAGGACTCATGCGTCTCCCTTTAGTTCCGGGAAAGCGGTCAGACCTGGAAGAGAGAGGGAGACAGAATGGAGAGGTGAGTTACACACGAGGATCTCCAGAGGAATGATGTCACACATGTGGGCGACACCTCCCGTCAACAAATATACTGCTCATGAAAATTATGTCTGAAGTAACCATAGTAAAACTGTGATGTTTATCTGCGTGTTGGTGTAGCCATTTCATAACCTCTCTGAAGGTTTGATAGGAACCATCCAATACTGTCATGTGTTTGTTGACTAAACTCCTGTTTAGCTGATCGATACCTCGTCAGATTATTTACTGATGAACTTAATTAAGTGAGAGGCTGGCGAAATGTAGTATATATATGGATTACTGGATTATTGTTGTTTGTACACACTCTATTGTTAGTCTGTTTTCTTTTACTGGGTTTAAACGCTTTTACACAGCATTGTCCTGGAAACTCCCGACTGATGTAAGTAATCCCTTCCACAAACCCATACGTAAGTTAAGTTTTACGCAAGTCAGATTTACCATCCCATACCATTCAGGACACATTATAACAAAAATCACATAAAGCCAAAATATAGTAGCAAAATATCTGGGGGGGGGGGACGTGTGGCTCAGGGGGCTAAGCCTCTGTTCCTGTGATCCTGTGGGCCCTTGAGCGAGGCTCCTAACCCCCAGCTCCCTGGGCCCCTCTGCGGGTGGCTGCCCTTCACTGCAAAGCTCACTCTCACCTACCTGTGTGTTACGGAGAGCAAGATGGTGAAGCAAAAAAGACAATTTTCAAGTCAGTTTTGCTTGAATCAAGAGCCGCCTGTAGTTCAGGCAGCGTGAGGTGTGACCATGCAGAGGGACCCAGGGGAACAGCAGGGAACTAGGAACTAGTTCCTAGAACTTGAAACTAGGAACGCCACCTGTGTGGCACCCTGCATATTCTCAGATACTCAGATCCTCTGTCGGAAATGACATCACATGGGTTTCCCAAACCGTTTTCACTTCTGCAGTATTTGCAGCTTGTGTCACTCTCAGGATGTAAGATTCACTGGGTTACAGCCTAGCGACCTAGACCAGGATCGGCGCTTGGAGAATGGATGGATGGATTACAGGACATGTTCCTGGATCCCATAGAGCACGTCATATAAAGAATAAAAGTCACACTGGTCTCCGAAGCGGAGATAGTTAGCGGGGGTCAGGTTAAGCAGAGGATACCATGTCTGTGAACAACTATCATCTGAACCAGGGGTGGGCAAGCTTATCCTTAAAGGGCCAGTGTGTGTGCGGGTTTTTGGGTAACCTTTAGGTCAGCTGTACATACCCAGGTGTGAGGACTCTTCAGCCAATCGGTCCTCTGATTAGTAATATAATTAGGGAGTTACAGCGAAAACCCGCAAACACAGCGGCCCTTTCGGTGTAAGACTGCCCACCCCTGATTTAGACCAAATATACAGATCTGTTTGAGTTGTATATGCTGTCTTGTACAGAGTGTATTGACACCCAGAAGAGCCTCAAATGGATTAACTCCAATGTAAAGAACACTGTAAATGAGCCCTAATGGCTAATTTGGTCATCACATGTAGGGAACGTCACGACAGAACACCCATAATTCAAAGTGACCTGGTGCATGACCTCACAGATATGAACTGACCACATGGCTGATTTTACAGATACCAGTACCGTACCTTATAAGTTCAAAGTGTGAAGAAAGGTTGAGGGAACCAGCCATGCTATACGGGCTCATCCAGGCTGATCTCGGTGAAGATCTCAGCACCAGAGGGAACCGCCGTAGGAAAGTCTGCAAAAGGAACCGTGATAGAGAGAAATGAAAGTGCCATTCAGGCCGAGATGCCAGCTACCTGTGCGTTTGTGGTAAAATCACTATGGTTCACCATTATGGTGATCCAGAGGCAGGAATGCCAGGAAGGGGTGGTCTCTAGCTTAATGTGATCACAAGATTGCCAGTTCAGATTCTTTCGTTGGCAGAGTGATTGTCCGTCTGTTTGACCCTGATTTCTCAAAAGCAAGGCGTGCATGCACTCTACATGCGTGACTGTCTAAGGCGTGCATGCGTTCTACATGCGTGATTGTCTAAGGCGTGCATGCGTTCTACATGCGTGACTGTCATTTTGCTGATAACCTCTCTCTGTACTATAACACCGAAAAACACAACATCTTTCCTCAGCATCCTTCATTTCCCAGGAGTCACCAGTATTGAAGTTAGATTAATGCAAAGGCTACAGTCTAGGTCTCTGGAAATCAGGGGCCCCGTTCCTCCTGCATTTTAAATTCTCTGTAGTCTCTCTTTCGGCTCTATAAAATAGCTGAAGTGGCTCTCTTGGGGCCCCTAGCCATGTCAGCCTGGGGCCCCCATAGAGGTGATCTGTCCCTGACTGCAGTGACTTTTTGTCACCATCTGCAGTGAAATGTCAAGGCCAGTTTGCATCCAGCTCCTTTTAGGGTTGCAGTGAACCTGGAGCTTATCAGCGGCAGGGGGAGCAGGGACACCTTGTGAGTCCATCATAGAGACGACACACATCTGCAATGTGGGTGGAGACCCACGTGCAAACTCCACCCATACGGCGCCAGAGTGGGCACTAAACATGCCACCTGCATACAACTGCATGTCTTTGAACTCTGGGAAAACGACCATCACTCCCAATGAAATACAATGATAGTTCGCAATACAAAATAAATAAATGAAGGATACAGAAGGTGACCCTGGCGAGTCCGGATACAGCCCATGGGCCCTTGGTGTACAGACCTGGGCTGGACGGCAGCCTGCCCCCAGCGTTGTTGTTATTTTCATTCTGTGGCTCCCCCAGGGTGTCCGTGAAGGTGTCGCTGGATTGGTTGGCTTCTCCGTCAATCAGGTTGAAGTTGAACTCAAGAGGCTTCTCTTTGGGCGTCAAGGCAATCTGGGAGCCAAAGCTGTCCGACTTTTCTGAATCTACTGTGAAGCAACGACAGAGACCGACATCACTGCCTCCGGAACATTCTAAGCAGCTGCCATTATACGCCAAAGCTGAATTTTCCAAATTGATTTGTGGTGTGGTGCCTTGTTCAGGGGCAACGTGTGGCTCAGCAGTCAGAATATAGTGTTTCTGACCAGAAGATTGGTGGGTCAAATCCCAGGCTTGGCAGAGTTATAGCACCATTGGGTGCTTGACTGAGGTCCTTAAGCCCCAGTTGTTTTGACCCCCCCTTCTCACTGCTGCTTTGTCTGATAAATAAACGTAAGTCTCCTGAAACTGCAGACAAACTGCACTGACATCCCCATAGAAGAATAAATCTGCCAGCAGACGAGTGGAAGTTGTGTGGGCAGGAAGTGGGCTGAAGCGGGGCATCCTGCTGGCAGAGAGTGCCCCCGGGGCTTCTGGGTAAATACACAACTACGAGGTGTCAGAATGAGTGACCTTGGGTATTCTGGGTAAATACACAACTACGAGGTGTCAGAATGAGCGACCCTGGGGATTCTGGGTAAATACACACCTTTAATTACATTTGTTGTGGCTAATGCAGAGACTTCGACATAGAGTGTAAGCTCAGGGCTCGTAAAATCGCTAGCCTGTCGTCCTGGGACAGTCAAGTTCTCCCGTCAGGCTACCAAAGTGTAACAACACCCTGCCCTTGAGTAAAATAAAACTCCTTCCTTTATTTGCCTTTTCTGCTTATTTGACTAGCTATTTGGAGGAAAAAATTTGATCACCAGGGTTGCCAACACTGTTCAGCTGTCTGGCGTAAGATTTTCAGTTCACACACATTTACATGTATGTACAGTTTTATTACCTTGTACATTGTCTGTAGAGTTTGGAAACTATATCAACACTTTTCATGTAGCTAATTTTAGGTTTATAATGGAATAATATAAATTTGCCATAAGTTTTCTTGCGTGAGTGTAAAAGTCTGAAAGTGTGTCATGCCAGAAGCATGAGAGTCAGCAACCCTGGACTGCTGAAGGAACGAGTTGCTAATTGTAATGTTGGTTTGTCCGTTAGGAAGTTTAAGTCTGATTTATAGGAGGGTTACATTTTATCAGGAAATTGCCTTGCACTGCCATTTTGGTGCATTGTCGGTGATGGTAATTGAGTACTCCAAGCACGTTAATGCACGCAGGTTAAGTATGGCTTTATTATCACACCAGTTACATTCAGTACACTGCACATGATGATGTGAAATTACGTTTTATATATATGTTTTATATACATTATATAAAAGCAAACGATATAAAGAGGAAACGGATATTACTGGTTGGGATCCATAGACAGCGAAAGCATCATGGCTGTGAGCCACCTGCTGTGCGATATGAGGATCAATTGTTTTAAAACGTCGTGCGTAAAACTGAGGCAACTAAAAGTCTGTAGATTTAATTTCTTTATTTCTGGCTGGCAAATAAACTGCGGAGGAAGACGTGTGGCCGAAATATTTCAGTTTATTTATCACAACACGAGGCGGAGTTGTTAGTTTCTTCACCGGTGTCTTGTTTCCCTGTGTCCTTGTTGATTGGCTGCCAGTTGATTGGCTGCCAGTTGATTGGCTGCCAGTTGATTGGCTGCCAGTCCTCGCTATCATTGTATTTAAGTCCCTGCCTTTTTTCACTTCCTCTGTTGGTCATTGTGTTAGAATGCTCCTGTTTGCTATGTCTGTTACTCTGCATTACTACTTTCACTTTGTAGGTCATTTGTGGTTCTTTTAGGAGTGTTAGTAATTAGTTTACCTACAGTTATAGGGTAGAATTGGCAGATACTTGAGGGTTCGGCCACAGTGACAAGCAAAGGTGCAAACTGGAGCTGTTTTTATCTGACAGTGTGGTCCGGTGGAACCTGTCATAAGTTCGCTGCTGGTGCTCAGTTATCGTTACTTCATAGTGGCTGGTTTGTCTAACATGAAATGATAAGAATGGTCTTTAGGATAAGATTCCGCATCAAATTTTTAAAAACATTTATCTTCTGTGAGTAACTCAGTTACTACTGAAGTACAATCGTGAACAAATATAGTAGCTGCATAAAATACCATTATGGTTGATCAATGATAAACATGAGATCAGTACATAACTAACACTTAGTTACTGGTTAATTAATACATTAAGTAAGAGTGTACTACTACATTATCTGTGCTCTCAAGGGTTACTGGAAAATGTTACAGTTTTCTAATTCAGTAAGTTATATTGTGCCAGTCAATGCTGTTTTATAAAGCTCAGGCCCACTGCACCTGTACCAGAGGAGGAAGCCCCAGATCCCACTGCACGTCCCACTCCGTTTACTACTGGCTGCTACTTCAAGCAACACAGTGCTTTATATGCAGCTTCAGGCAGCTCGTAACGACACTTTTCACCCATATCCTACAGACTGTTGTGGGAAACAAGTCATAGACCACAAGCAATTTGAAGTTAGCTGTTCTGGGCTCCTCCCTCCCAAAACGGGGGCTTGGGGGGGGGGGGTCTCATTTGATGTACAAACACGCACTGAGTGTGTGCAGATGCTGCAGACCACGCTCAGTGCGAGGGAACACTACTGTGAGGTGAGATGATGTGAGCAGAACAATGGCCTCGGTTGAGAGAAGCGCCCGGTGAGCCAGGCATAGGCCCGGAACCTTCCGGATTGGGAGCCTCACGGACTGCACCCTACCGTCCTCAGGGCCCCTTGTCTCCTCTCCAGCCTGCAGCTCGCTCTCCCCGGGGGTCACGTCGCTCTCGTCTTTGGCAACGTATTCGAAGTCTGCAGGTTTCTCTACACGGAAGCGAGAGCATGTGAGGGCAAGCAGCTGGCTTCTCCTCACCCCACAGCCTCTCACGACTCATTATAAGATGCATGGGTCATAGCAGCATGTCGGCATCGAGTGACACCTTCACACGAATATTTCTGAGGAGAAGATGCGTCCATATTGAATTTAAATTCTCATATTCTAATGTGCATATTAACTTACAAACAAACAAATAAATAAATGTGTCCCATAAAATCTTTCACACCCCTTCTGATCCTGGATCTATCTTTCCCTGCTACACGTTCTGTTATTTTGGTCCCTTGAGGTTGACTTCACATCATGTTCTTTTCAGAAGAGTAGTGACAATGATAATTACCATCATTTTGGTTGGGTGCAAACACTCCTCCTTGGCCCACAGAGCTTAAAGGAATGTCAACCTCGTCTTTCTGGTACAAGTCAAAAGAGTATTGCTGGAAAATGAGCAGAACGTGAATATCAGAGAGCCGCTTTCCAAGACGGCTGACAGCTTCCTCTTTTGCATCTGAGGCATTTACAGTGAGATGGTCCAGTGGTGCGAGAGAAATCAGGCAATCCTAGAAGGTGTGAAAATGCCTTACCCTCGTTTTCTTGCGTATATACCAAATTACGACGATCAGAATACCGATGATGGCCATGAAAAAGATTAGAATGAGAACTCCTGTGACAAAAAATTGTAAGACGTGTCAAAAGATGTTGACCGTGTGAGAAAGGCAGTGTGGCAGTGTGGCAGTGTGAGAAAGGCAGTGTGGCAGTGTGGCAGTGTGAGAAAGGCAGTGTGGCAGTGTGGCAGTGTAAGCCAGCGAACAGCCCTCACCTAAGACGATGTTGCCATTCTCTGCGTTGGTTGCACGTTCTGTGGAGGGAACCAACAACATCATTAAACCGATTCTGGACAAATAACCACGACTCGCAGATAGACCATTCATTCACTCAAAGGGTCCGTGATCAAGCTGAACCTTAACAAACACAAGTTGTGGGGGTGTAAAGGATGTTATATTCTGCCTACTGAGGGCAGAATAACAGAGCTGAGGCACCTGAGTAATTTGTGGACCTGTAAGGTCAAAGGTCACTGGTCTGGGTGACAAATTAACATGATGCGCCTTGAATATTTTGACTGGGGAGCATTGTAGGCATGTTCATGGGAGTTTTACTTGCACAAAAATGTTCTGAGGGCAGAAGGAAAAATGATTGGTCCAGAGAGATAACCAATCAGATTGTAGAGGAGGTGGGTCAAGGGCAACTAGAGGACACAGAATCAACCAATCAGATGTCTTGCTCCCGCCTCCTCTAGTTGCGTGGAGACACCTCCTCTACAATCTGATTGGTAATCTCTCTGAACCTATAATTTTTCCTTCTGCCCTCAGAGCATTTTTGTGTAAACAAAACTCCCATGAGCTTTGGACACTATAAAGAGAAAGAATTATCTTAGAATTAAAATAATGACTTCATAAAAGCAGAGTGGTCCTCCTGGGATGAGCAGAACATTATGAAGAGATCTCTGCAGATGCATTGAGAAACAGACCTACACACGTCTTTAAATAAGCACTTCCATTCATGAGTAACACTAATGTCACAGCTCCCCGCCAGTGCTGCAGGTTCAGTGCGGACACCAAAACACTGAAGCATCAAAAATTACAAATACATAATTTTTAAATTAAATCTATATAAGGAGTATATCTGAATATGTATATCACAAACAGAAAACGACACCGATAACTAAATTATTGGCATTAGTACTAGATTACTAAATAACTAGCAGTACTCAGTAGTACAAATACAAATTCCACGTCTACATCAGTGATAATTTGCTTGCATTCTGACCAGGCAGCTCATTGCTCCCAAGGCAGCTAATTCAACCCTATAAGCAGCATCACTGGTCTGCTGGACCAAAGTCCACTGCCAGTGCACTAACAAGCATTTTCATTTTGACTGGGTTCTCTGATTTGTCACATGCAAACTGCCTTCTGATTTTCCTTCTTAAACAAGAGACTGATGATCGAGCGTTAAAGTTAATCTGGCTGAACACTTAAATGCCCCAGCAGCTTTGACATCATTGTGGTGACCCTAAAGGAAATGAAATCTCTATGTGAGACCTGCTCAGAGTCGCCGTCTCTACGGCACTGACATAAATATTTGCTTGGATGCTGGTTCAGCATGAATCTAATTCATTTGAAACAATACATGCTCTCATTTTAGATCAGTGGTTACCAACGCATCGATAACGATTTAGCCCTCACCGTAACTAAAGACTGGTGCCCTCAGTTTTAAATGAAAGATTTAATCGAAGTTCAAAGGCTGCATAATGTTATAGGGAGCAGGTGGCTGTACACTGCACCCAAATGCCACCCAAAACTGAATCCAACAAGGAGGTATCTCTCATTTTGTTTGCACCATCCAACTTTTTGGCGCCAAGATTTGAACGCAAACACTGACATTTTCTTGGTAAATTTACAGAAGAAGCAGCAGGAATATCTCTACGCTCTCTGGACGTCCTTTCCTACACAGTTCAAATTTTTGCTTCCTCTCAGCTCCTAGCACCTGTACCAGGTATTCGGTGTTCCTGATTGGTGGGGAGCTGGGAGGGAGCAAAAACGTGGTCTGTCCGGGGTTCCCCGAGGACTGGGTTGGGAAACACTGCACTATATGGACAAATGCTCTTCTGGATGAATGGGCAAAAATTTCCAGAGACACACTCCGTAGTCCTGTGGAACGCCTTCCACAAGGCCAATTCCATAATGATGCATGTGGATTTACAATGGGACGTGATAAAAGTTCCTATAGATGTAATGGCCAGGTGTCCCAATACTTTTGTCTATATAGTCTACTTTCAGTGCTGTTTTTAGCACCAGAGAAACCCAAACCCTTGAGAAAAAGCCTTGTCCTACAACAAGACGACTCAATGAAGTGCACCTCTTCTTACCGGGGGTCGTGCTGGTCAAGCTGTCTTTGCCGGAGTTTTCCCTGGCAGGGACACTCATCATCCGGCTCGTCTGATTGCTGCCCAGGCTTGACATGGTCACAGCTGCCGTCGTACCGTTTGACATTCCATCCTTACCAGTGGTGGAGTTAAAGTGCAGGCCAGTGGTACTGGCCGCCAGGGACGTCCAGCTGACGGAGTGATTGTGTCCAGTGCCAGCCGTCGGAGTCGCTGTCCCCGGGCCTGAGCTGCTCACGTTTTGTGATGCATGACCGTTACCCACGACAGCGGCCAGCAGCAGCAGAACACCTGCCGAATACAGAGCACACACCTTAACAGCAAGATGGTCCATTTTATCCCCATTTTCCATAAAAAAACAGATAAATTTTGCACTTATATGATGCAGCGATGAGAGATCGGCCTGCCCCTCACCCACGAGCCAACAACAACATTTCAGATACCTGCTTTCATTTCAAGGTTAAACAACTACTAAACTACTTAAAAATCTCTGAAATTACAAACAAATCTTTTTAGAATTATATTCAGAAGTTACTCCATGAAAAAGACGCATGCCTGGAAAACAGTTTAAACATTTGGAAAGAAGAACATTTTCATCATTTTGGCGTGCCACTAAATTTTTTCTTTAAGAAGGTCGAATTCCTCACACTGCACGAGTTAACATTTTGCCATTTACAGTTCAGTTGTCTGATGCTCCTAACCGGCAGGATTTAAGTTGCTATGATTTTAAACGCAAGGAGAGCTTTCATAAAAACTTACCGAGTTTTTTATAGTGACTGATGCAAGTTTGGAGCATTTTGATAAGCAGTATTGTGTACAGGGTGACTGGATGAGCATGTGCTCCTTACAGAGAAATCAAGTGATGCACGATGGCAGTGACAGGAAACGGGGCGGCGACAGCGCGTCACGCGCCTGCATCTAGCCGTTTGACCGCAGCGGGGCTCCCTTTCTGTTCTCCGCGCGGATTCGTTTACGTATCACTTTATGCACTTTCACAGTATTTAAAAGAACCCTTTCATTCGTCAAAAGTTTTTCATCGGCTTTGTAATATGTATAATGCCAAAGGAAAAGGTATTATATTACGACATGCCATTAGAATAAGTAGTACTGTAAAAATACCGTAAAATGTCTCGATAGAGCAGGGAGACGGACTTTTTAAAGTGATTCCTAGCCAGGCCCCACTCCCACCTGCTTTAGTTGGTGCACCGCCTAGCAGTGAGAGCTTTGACAGCCGGCTCCTCCGCGGCCTCCTGACGCTTTTATTGCTTGTCGCTAGGGGGCTGCATAAGCAAAAGAATTTCAGAGAAAAACTGATTGCAAGACAGTGACATGAATCTTAATCCCGTAAACGTATTGCTTTGATTTCGAAACAAACGCGCACGGCTATTTGAATGTGCAGTTGACATTTCCCTAAGGGTTGTTCGCTGGACAAAAAATATAGAAAATCGCTGATACTTAAGATGCCCAAGCTGGGACAAATTTAACAGCTGGAAGGCTCATTGGATTAATGTGGGTGTGTGTTATTAGAAATTGCTAACTTACCCTGATTTAATATTACATTTATGATTATAGAGTAACTATGTTGTTTAAGCTTTTGCTGTTCGTGATTAACGGGATTTTCCAATATGCTACGGGGAAACATCAAATATCTATTAAGATATTGTCTAAAATAAAACATGTTCTGTTCAGTAACATGGGAATTAAATGTCTGAATTGAAAAACAGTCTGGGAGGAACATTTTTCCCTCTGATGTGGAAAGTGAGTTTGGGTCAGCGGAGGTCAGTGAGGAACAGCACTAGGGGAGAGAGCTAAAGTATTGAGAGGAGGGGGGTCATTAATCGCCGTTTATTTCACCATGTCAGAAGTAATCAGTAAAAGGACAAGAAGGAGCCGGTTACCCTCCCTCCCACTACTTCACGGGGGGGTCCTGGCTGCCAGGTCCCTTGTGAGGCATCTAAACCCAGTCCTGCACCGGTTATTGTCACATCAGAGCGGGACAGGCTTGTTCCGCCCCCTGAATGAGCTAATCACTCTCCTGGAGGTGTCGGGGGGGCTGACGACCACCCACTCTGAGCCGGGAAATTCACAGCCACTTTATGATGTGGCTCCTCAGGGCAGCACTCCATAAAGGAGCCGGATTGTTTGGCCAGAACATCCAGCGAGGGCCGCGCAGTAAACACCGTTAGCGCGCCGCATTAGCGATCGCCGCAACTTTTATTTGCGGCAGAATTTAGCTCATTTTAACGAACGTGTGTGGAAGGAAGAAATCAGGGGAATGGCATCCAGCTTCACGGACTCCTGAGGAGGGGACACCTCCGAAAATATTTCATGGAATAAGAAACAGCAGCTCGGAGACGGATTCCGTTTCTGGAAGATTTCAGTCCTGTGTCAAGGCTCACTTTGGGTTTAAAACACAGCAAACTAAGAAAGAACAACGTTTAGGGGAAAATGAAGCTACTTTGCCAGCCTTTGCCAAGGCCTAAGGAAAGAGACGATCTTGTACTCTGTGTAAACAAATTGGTCAGCCAGTGAATCCTAAAATGACTTTTGCACAATGCTCACTGCTCGCACGTTGTACACGTATCACACAGGTTTGAAACAACGAGGCATTTAGCGGAAACGCTGAGAAGGGAAACAGGAGAATGAGGAACCAGAAATGCCTCGTCCAGGAACACAAACAGTCCATTTCGAAGCTTCACCCCTGACAATACAACATTTTGTCTACTGTGGTTTTATGTAATGGATTCTGCTCGCTGATATCTATGCATACTTCTGCTCTGTGTTTTGAAAGCTGTAGATTAGCGCTGTGTGATAGCAGCCCACAGTACTGAGCACTGCACTGGTGACTCCTACAGGATGTCATCAGCAATTGCAACTCGTCTATTATCTTTGGATCTAAAGTCTATTAGTCTTTTATCTAAAGTGACAAAGAACTAACAGCAGGATCAGACAGTCCTTGGAGCAGCTGGGGTTTAAGGGCCCTGCTCAGGGGCTCAGCGGTGACATCACTCTGCAAGGTGACATCACTCTGCAAGGTGACATCACTCAGCCGATCTGAATCCGTCCTATCCCACAGAACCTTAATGTTTGCATTAAACGTGAACAGGTACCCAGAAGGTGTCCGTTTTTGGGGTGTGGATTTCTGCCGTGGGATGAGACCTGCTCTGCCTGTGAAGGACTTTCCAGTTGCATCTTCCTAATTAAGGTTGTCGGGGGGGGGTTCAGTTATGGACAATGCTGAATGTCAGAGATACCCAACAACCAGAATGCAGGACTTTAACCCACATGTAACCCAAATATCGAATGGCTGCCACCTTCCCCCCCAGCAAGCACACAATGTGCTTTGGAGATCAGTGGGAAGATGGGGCCTGAATCTCCAGCTTAAACCCCAGCCTGCTGCCAGGAGGGTCTAAGTCCACCAGCCGCTGTAATCGCCAAGGCTCAGAACCTGAACCATCAATATTTCCAGCTTCACACCCTCAGCAGGCCCAGAGCCAGCGCTCCACTGATCTCCTCCCCACGTCCGGAATGTTCTTCCGACATTCCTCAGTGAAAGTCAGCATGTGCCGCAATATCGGATGTCACTGCTGAACAGGTTGGGCGTGGTGTGGCATGTTCCAGATAATTAAAGGCACCCCCCAGTTCCTTAAATGATGAGGGGGAGGGGGGTTGATTGGGTTTGCAGGGACCTTAGTGTCACCAAGCTCACACCAAACGGGACCTACAGCAGGAAGGTGACACACAAAATAAATGCCGACAGCATCTACATGCTACACTAGAAGATCTCATGGACCACCATGGATGTTGGTCTGTCCTTGTGGTGCCTTGAAAGAAGGATCAGACACAAAGGGGCATCTGCTTTGTCTCTCCATGAGCCGCCGGGACTTTTCACCTGTAGACGTTCCTAAAATGATGGTGGGGCGAGGGACCCTTCGGGGAGCATGACCCGCATCTACTGCCTTCGTGTGCCAAGCTGCTCCAAAACCGGCCCCTTAGACGTGCAGAGTCTCCCGAGGTCAGCGGGAAGTCCAGCATGAACCAGGGAGCTGCCAGCGCCATCTAAAACAAACCTCGTTTATGCGTCAAAATAGAGTTAAGCTGATTGGGGAGACAGGAGTCATGTGGGGTTGCCATGGCGTCGGGCAGGCCAATAAACAAAGAGCGGACAGGGCAGAGGACGTGGCTGGTGGGAGGGAACGCCCCTGTCTGTCATCACTACATCATAAAGTGCTGCTTTTTCTACCCAAACTGCTCGTCCAATTGGACAAACACATCAAGGCTCACTGCTGTTTACTGCCCCTGAGCAAAGCGGGCTTAGATATCCAGCGTGGGGTCTACCACACCCCTCCACCCTGCGGGAAAGCCCAGCCGTCCGGTAGGTGACCGGAGGCCACGCCAACGCGGGCACGTGGTGCCAGGCTTCCGGAAGGCTGCGTGGGCTTCCCAAGGCGTCCCCGCGGCAGGCGGCATGAAGGCCAGCTCTGTCTGCCCTGCTGAGAACGAGGAACCTCACAGACCTCTGAGGGCTTTTGTCCACCCATGCCGAGGCCTCCTTGTTGATCTGAGGTCCACCAAAACATACAATTGCAGATTAATGAACAAACTTGTTTTCTAATTAACCTTTTTTTATTATTTTTTTAAAAAAAAACCTTTTAACATTTTTTTTCCAATAAATAAAATCAAATTTCTTCATTTATTTTTATTTCTTAAATACTTTTCTATGAGTCATTTTCTCTAGTTAACATTTCAATGTTTATGTGATGCTTGTAATGCCACGTTAAGCCCTGTGAGTGAGCCGGCGTTGAATTCTCTTCACTGGCCATATAAAAGGGGACAAAGGAATCGCTTTTGAAAAGCTCCGTCTCCAAACTCAGCAGTCTTCAGGACTCGGATCCGTGAAGCTGGACAGGAGGTATGAATAGCAGGAACTCATGCACCGTCCTGTGAAGCATTAACCGGGGGGGGGGGGGGGGCTGGCTTCTCCAAGGCATCTCTGTTAATAATGGCTCCCAAATGCTTGGGAGAGAGTAAAATGTATTTTGCTCACTATTATAATGCACATGAGTATATTTTCTGATTCAAATGTTTTTTTTTTTTTTCAGTCTGTGGTGAATGTAAATAACTAAGAAGCATCCCCTGACCTGCACCTGTGCCCACGGACCTCACAGAAGGTGAACAGATGCTTTCCGGCACTTTCCAAATGGTCTCCTTCACATGGTAGTAATAAGGAGATGGGATGTTGTTCCCACATCGCATCTGCTGCGTGTAGCCGCTGCCGCTCAGGAATGTCCGTGTTTGACTGCAGCCCGCATGCGTTGCAGTTTCCAGCGGCAGGTTTGCAGCACTGGGGCAAAACAAGCAGCCGCGGCCAGCGGATCTGCGGGGAACTGGGACTGTTCTGCGGCCCCCAGATCAGAAGGAGGGGGGTGTGGCTCAGTCAGGGATCAAAAAGTCACGGGTTCGAATCCCAGGACCAGCAAACTGATGTCTCCATTGGGCCCCTGAGCGAGGCCCTTACCCCCCAGCCCCACGGCCCCTGCACACTGGCTGACCTGTGCTGTGACCACCAAGCTTGTTCTCACCTGCATGTGTGTCTGAGTGTCTCATGGAGAGCAGGATGGGGTCGGCTAAAAGGGAATTCCCCCACGAGGATCAATAAAGTATTATTATTGCATTCTAAGTGACAGGATGGATCAATGAGGGTCACCTTCTGTGCTTCCTATAATCTCACTTAGAGAAATCTGTCATTTCCAGATCCAGCTATCTGCCGCTAGATGTGACCCTGGTTCAAGGCCGTCTCTTATGCTACTGACTGAAGGTTTCTCCTCAGCATCCTTCGGATCGTAAGCTCAGGATGGTTTCAGACGCAGCTTCAGCTAAGCTGCCTGGATTCTGATCAGCTGTCATAATACCACAAAGCTGTGTTTTCCAGATTGATTCACGGTGACGGAGCCCAGTTTTTGGTCTAATGGTTGGCTTGGGGGGTTTTGTGAGGTTCGGCGGGGGGGGGTCAGGATGATGTGTCTGTGAATGGACGGTTGCTGGTTTGAATCCCAGGGTCGGCAGAGCGACTGCAGGAATTGTCTGA